TGTCGCACCCAGGGCGCGAGCAGCCGCCTCGCCTCTCAACCGGGCGAGGAAGCGGCGTTTCTCCAGCCGGAGCCGACGCCGAGCGCTCAGTCCCAGCGAGCTCTACAGCCGATGGAAGCTCGTCCAGTGGAGCCAAATACTCCAAGGCCTCAGTACCGCAATTTTTGAGGAAGGGGTTTGAATGACCGCAAGTTTCATTCATCCCAAACACTTCAGGACTACCGTAGGTTTTACATTACCACATGACTACATTTTACAAGGGCTAGGAAAGCAATCTTCCAAGGCAAAGTCTGCTACAACTACACGGCGGCAATTTGGCGTGAAGCTTCCTAAGCCTAACCCGCCCTCCTTCACAGCATCACACTGCAACTGTCACCTTTAGTGCAAACATCTGAACTCCGGGGATTGTGAGGGAAAAGACCCGCGTGGAGCATAAGATGCAGGTGAGGAAGTTGAAGCTACAACCCAAGGGCCAAAGACTGCTCCAGCGTTTCCAAAAATGTGCACGAAAGAGAATCTAGACGTTAAACTCTAACATCGTCTTCATCACGGAGAGAGAGAAAAAAAAAAAATCAGTATCAAAATCAAATCAGATTCCTTGGCGGATCGTTTCCAAACTAGTGCAATCAGTCACGCTCCGAACTTTAGCATCCAAATACAATGGACAGAAGAGGAGAACGTCCCTGTCTCAAGCAAGACTGTGCTGGTTACAAAGGCAGCTCTATGGCTCTGGAAGGGGAAGAGTCAGATGGCTCGTTTCGCAGGCGGATTTCCTCCCCCCTCCCCCCGAGGAGACGTCAGTACAGTAGATGGCAAATTCCATTTCATTTGGACACAAAAGTTCTGTCAAGTGCTGGGGACCGGCTTTTCCTGGGTCACAGGCTAGAAGCCAGACGCCCAAGCGGAAAACGAGTTCATCTTCAGGCAGCTGGGAAAGGAGAAACGCGTTTCGAGGAAGTGAGAGGTTTAACGTTACCAAGGTGCAGGTGCAAAAAGAAAAGCATTTCCCCTTCCTCCTGTTGTCTGAAATCCGAACGCGGCAGCACAGCCGCAACTCGGAGCACGGCAGCGGGGGAGTCGGTGGGCGTCCCAGCGTTCCTGCATTCTCATCGCCGGCCGTCGTTATTCCAGTGAACATCCGAGGGGGAGTCTAGATCTGGAAAGGGAAAAAGGAAGGTTTAAACAATTTGAAAGCTCAGCATTGTTGTTCTACTCTGACAAAGCGTCAGGGTTTGAGCAGGCTGAGTGTCTCTGACGAGCTTTCAAATAAAAACCAAGCTCTTCCTAACTGCCCGCCTGCTTTACTGTGCCTCAGGGACAAGTCAGGGAATTCCTGGCAAAGGAAACAATCCCCAAAATATTGGTGAGACGAAATGGGGAGGCTCAAGGGGGCAAATTGTCTTGGTGGCATTCAGCCGGGTTCCCCAGCCAGGCACGGCTGCAATTCGGGAAGGGAGAGAACAGAGCTTCCGCTCCCAACGAGGCACTGCACCGCCGCAGAGCTGACAACAAGCCGGGGATGACACTGCCTTGAGTTTCACATGCCAAATCCCTAACGGCGTTTGAAAACGGCCATCGTCGCGGTCCCCCCACTGCTGACAGCCTTCCGAAGGACCGGCTTTCAGCTTAACTTTTTCAACTTTTACAAAATTTTCTGTCCTTGTCTCCTCTTCCCATTGCAGAAAATAACTACAGACACATCTGACTTCAAGGACAACAGGTGAAAAAAGTTTCAAGGGGAAGAAGAAAGGGAATTCTCCCCAAATCCTACCCTTCCCCGGCTAAGAACTTATTTGAAAAAGTCATTTGAGTCAGTGACAAACTATTCGTGAGCACACCTGAGCTCGAGACTCACAAACTCCTGCTCTGTGTTAGCCCTCTCTGCCACCGTTTCTCAGCACTGTTGCTTCCATTTTCTGGCAAAACCCTGTTTCCAGACCAAGAGCAGGGTTTTTCGCTGAAAAAATCAGCTTCCCAATACCAGCCAAGCAGGGGCCTCGTGACCGTTTCTAATGCGAAAGGCCAATATATCGCATTTACAATATACACCAGGCACCGCAACCCTCTCCCGGCCTGCCCGGCTCCCAGGGTGAGGCAGCACCCGTTTCGGGTAGATCTTACCTTTTGATCCAGTCTCTGATAATCGCTAGATTTGGGCCGTCGACCACTTTTCGATCTCTTCCCTTCCAGAGCAAAAGCAATGATCTTTGGAGAGAGAAGCAGGGACAAGGTGAGTGGGACAGTAGCGACCAAAGAAGCTTTTTCTCACTTCAAACGCAGGCGCTTTCTAGTGGGCCAAAGACCAGCTTCGCTTTCCTCCTTCTAGTGACGACATTTCATTTGAAAAAGCACTTGAAACAAATAAATGCCAATATATAAACCCAGCTAAGATCGAAAGCAGGCGATAATGAGGTTTGCCCAACACGCAGAAAACAATAATATGCGCTCGCAGCCCAGAAGGCCAATCGTACCCTGGGCTGCAGCCAAAGCAGCGCGGCCAGCAGGTCGAGGGAGGGGATTCTGCCCCTCTGCTCTGCTCTGGTGAGACCCCACCTGGAGCACTGCGTCCAGCTCTGGGGCCCTCAGCATAAGAAAGACACGGACCTGTTGGAGCAGGTCCAGAGGAGGGTCACAAAAATGATCAGGGGGCTGGAACAGCTCTGCTATGAGGACAGGCTGAGAGAGTTGGGGTTGTTCAGCCTGGAGAAGAGAAGGCTCCGGGGAGACCTTATTGCAGCCTGTCAGTACTTAAAGGGGCTTATAAAAAAGATGGCAGCAAACTTTTTAGCAGGGCCTGTTGCAACAGGACAAGGGGGAATGGCTTTAAACTAAAGGGGGGGAGATTTGGACTAGATATAAGGAAGAAATGTTTTATGCTGAGGGTGGTGAAGCACTGGCACAGGTTGCCCAGGGAGGTGGTGGATGCCCCATCCCTGGAAACATTCCAGGTCAGGCTGGACGGGGCTCTGAGCAACCTGATCTGGTTGAAGATGTCCCTGCCCACGGCAGGAGGGTTGGACTAGATGATCTTTAGAGGTCCCTTCCAACCCAAACTGTTCTGTGATTCCATAAGAACGTTTTCTTTCTCCTACCTCAAAAATAGCTTTACAGGAGGAAAAAAAAAGGCAGCAAAAGACAGTTACATCATTTGAGCTGCATCCCCCCCACCACGCAAGACTATTTAAGGAGAAGTCTTCTGCAACCTGCTAGAGAAACTCATCGCCAGCGAGGAAACACAGGGTAACTTCATACACCTTTTCCTTTTCACCTCTCTCAGCTGCAAATAACCACTAGAGCTGAGGCCACCCAATTTCCATGGAGCTCCGACCCCTTTCCCCACTTACAACCCCCCCTCCGCTCCTCCCAGAGCTGTTGGGACCAAGGCTCAAACGAACATTAACCAAACCCACGCCGTTGCAGCAAGCGGGAGGAACTGGTGAGGAGCAAAAGTCAGGGCGAGGGGAAAGGTCTTCAACCGAGCAGGTCCCAATCTGCAGCGGTGACCGGCAAGAGGGAAGGAAGCTCCTGAACTGCAGGGGAGATGTCGAGAGCCTGGGTAAGGAGCACAGCCACTCACCTTGCGTTTGTTGTGATACGCAACGTATAAGGCAGCAACGATAATAGCCGTGGTCACCAGATAGGCGAAGAAGTGGCTGCTCTCCGACTGGTCCCTGGGGGGAGAAGGAACGCTCTTCTCTCTCTTCTTATTAAAGGAGGAGGCATCGCTGCCTCCTTTGGCCCCATCCTCTTCCTCTCCGGGGTTTTCTTCATTGTCTAAAAAGCTGTTGCCCTCAGCAGCGGAGGAACTTGACTGTGGTGATGTGTTTTTATCTCTCGGTGAGCCCATTTGACTACCCTGGTTGTTGGTCTGGTTATCACTGTTACTGCCTGGGTTCCTGCCCTGGTTCTCGACGTTGCTGTCCTGGTTCTCGGTGTTACTGCCCTGGTTCTCGGTGTTACTGCTCTGGCCGTTGCCCCAGTTTGCGTCGTTGCCGCCCTGGCTGTTGCCCTTGTCC